CCCATCTTCGGAGTGGATCATGCCTTCTAACGCAATTGGTGAGGTCGATCGAGACTTTACTATAAATGAAGTTAGGTCTTGTCTGCAGCGGATCCCCACTAGCAAAGCAGCTGGTCCGGATTTAGTCCATGGATCACTTCTGCGTTTGGCTTCCTGTAAAGACCTCGTTTGCAAGATCGTTGCATCTCATCTGAATGGTGTTTTAGACGGTAGTTTGAACCTAGATGAACTCTTGTCGGCTACATGCGTTCTTCTTCCTAAGAAATCTAAACCTAGTAGAGGTTCAGACTGTCGGCCGATTATTCTCTTGCCGATGATGCTCAAATGCCTTGAACAATGTGTCCTGAGTAGAATCTCTTCCATTGTTAATGAGGTGTTTTCTTGGAAGCAGGCTGCATTCAGAAAGCGTCGCTCTTGTATCACTCAGGCTTTTGTTCTCAAAGTCTTACAAGCTGATGCGAAGCGTACACGTGCAGTTTTGCTGGCTTGTTTCTTGGATTTGAGAAAAGCGTATGATTCTGCGGAGCCTACGGTTCTGTTACCCTTGATTCGCAATCTTTCTGTGATTGGTAGACTTCGCTCCTTTCTTTCAGCTATGATGAGCATAAAAACCTCGTAAAGTTCGTATTGCTACTAGCTGTGGCATCTCGGAACCATTCATTGTTAGTCGTTTAGTACCGCAAGGAAGTGTCCTTGCGTGCTCCATTTTAAATCTCTCTATGGAGGTCTGCAACACCAAACTTGCGATTGGATCACCTATTCTTGCTCCTAAAGTTTCCCTCCTAAATGGGGATCTGAAAGTGATCAACCACCTTTTGTTTGCAGATGACCGAACTGTTCTCGTACAGGGACAAGGTTTGCCCAAGTGTGTCGGAGAGCTAATTGCTCGTCTTGAGAATGCTGCTACCTGGGCTGTTAAGACGAGAAACGAATACGCCCCTGAAAAAAGTCTCGTAGTTCCCCTTGGTATTCGGCTATGTCAAACGAGTGATTCCGTCTTCAATTTGAATGAGCAAGATATTTCTGTTGCCTTCGATTTTCCCTATCTTGATGTTCCTGTCACAAGCTCCAAAAGGAATCTGTGGGCACCCTTACATCGTAAATCGCGTGCTATCGCAGCCATCTCTAGTACTTTATCGGTCTACCGTATGGCTCCTCTGTTCATCATCAGACTTGTGGTTGCAGTTGGATGAAGTGCTTTACTTTACGGCCATGACCTAGCCTTTCCTAAGCCCCAGTCCCTGTATACCTGTTGTAATACACTTGTGAAGATTGGCCTAGGCTAATCAGGATGGACGAGGCTTACCAGGATGGACGCCAACTGCCTTCCTCTACGCTGCTCTACGAGTCCCGGTTGCTAGTGCGTCACATCTTAAGCGCGCTCTGATTTGTTGGAACACTTTATACAATTGTGATCATATTCACAAGTCCCTGATCGTTATGAGTGACCCCTTGAATGAGATGTGGCGTGGTTTCGTGGCTTTTGCTAGCTCTATCGGTGTTTTTTGTAGTCTTATGGTGGAGTGCATTATTTCTCATCCTGCTATTGCCAAACATAAAGTATACGATATCTTCCTACTCGCTTCTGCTAAGGCAACTACTGATGCTTTGGTACGTGCCCTTCGTTGCTTGTACATTGGCATCGATTATGTTGAATGTTGCGGTACTTTGATCCCACCGCCTTCCCCCAGTTCTGTGATATCTCATCAAGACGGTCGCGCTGCCATTAGAGCCCTTATTCCGCTTTCGTTCCAGCGTTGCCATTGTTGCTCTCTCTGCGGTAGATCTACTGATTCTGTAGACCATCTACTACTTTTCTGCCCAGCAGGCTCTAACATGTCAACCCAGCAGGTCTATGATGCTTTCACTTCCCCGAGAGCGTCCTCTCTACTCTTAACTATTGCTAGCGCTCTGCTTAAACGTAACTCTGCTGTCAGTAAGCTGCTTCGTGATAAGGAGGTCTCGTATACGATTGATACTGATGAGTGATACGCTCAGATGTAGCATGTAACTCGTTAATTAACAGTTTGAATTGAATTGAATTGTTGATATATGTGCTTTTAATGCAGAGACCACAAAGAGTCTTCATCCATCTCATCCATACTTCTGAGGTTGCTGAGCTGCCCAGACGTAGTTTATGCATCTCAAGCTTCCATGCGCAAGCTGGATAGTGTAGGGTCTTCCTTCTCCTGGAAGCCCTTGTTATCTACGCCCATGTTGTACCTACAGTAAGCGAATACAGACTGAAGTGGAATTCGTTCCGACCTAGGGAGATGCTGGCAGACTCCGTCACGAAGTGTAGCTATCCTTCCGCTTGGACATAAATAACTAAATCAACATCATACGGGGCGTGGTCTCGGTGAACAGATGCGTTGATATCCTCTTCTCCATCAACCTTCGACTCGAGACCGTCGATTATAGAATAATCGCCCAGAGAAAGAAATGTGCCATTGTAGCCATTAAACCCTTCATACTTCGGGTTGGTAAATACCTCGGAAGAAAGCAGCACTAGGGCCATAACCAGCATCCCATGAGGGATGCGTTCATACTCTCGCAAGACAGAGAGAACCGGTCTAGTACCTTTGAAACCTCTGAATATTCCTCCAGGTGGCAATGTTGCCTTCTCAGCTCTCGCTTCACCAAGTTATCATAGATCTTCTGCAATTCACTCGGAGACAACTCACTCAATGAGCCGTCAGCATCTTCAAAACCTTATGCATCCATAGCTTATCTCGTAAAGGTGCAGTAGATGACGACCCCGATGAAGCTTCTTCTGGTATAAAAATTTCGGGTCTATCAACAAGATCGGATTGAGCTCATCGGGAAGCTGTGAACACACTTTGATCGGTCTGAGCGGTATCAACTGGTCTCGCAACCGCCCTGAAGTGTCGACCATTTGATGATCAAAGTGCGAGTATAGAGAAGACTCTTTTCCTGTTATATTTTTACTATTTCCTTATCAAGTACGAGCTCCTCTCATCCTAACAATGAAATCGAGGAGTCGGGAATCGAGGATTTGTAATTACCTCGGGCGGCTTCTGCCCGTTGCGCTTCAGTATTTATGACTTCACAGGGCACTCTCTTGGTAGGGTGCAGGCCATCAGATACTGGTAGGTCCACTGATATACCCAGTGGGCAGCCTTCCTTACAGGCCGATGAAATAAAATCAACATCCCCTGCGCCTGTGTGCTCCAGAATAGCCGTCCATAATCTCGAATGGAAAGGGGATACATCCCTTCAATCTTGACTGATCTCAAAGAAATTCTCGAGAGCAGCCGTCGCTGCTAGAATGGCTCGCTCTCCCTTCCAAGCGACCTCATCATTCGAGAAGCCATTGAGACCGTTAAGAGCTTCAACCAAGACAGTCACCTTGGGTACTCTCAATAACGCTTTCACGAGCGGTTGGTGCCGCCATTTTTCGATATCCATCTGCTCAGGGTAGCTTCAGTGTGGCTTGCTCCGTCCCCGAACCATCCTTATACTGAACTGAAGCTTCCGAAAGTTCTTTTTCTTACTGCTCACGTGCAAGCCCCCAGAAACCATCCCAAACAGTCGCCTCTACCGTAGGTGGCTCAGGCGGAAAAAGCTTCTGAACACGGTTAGATTTTTAACGGAGATTTTTGTTCCGAAGCAACAAGGACCTAGAGGCCTCCCCAATTGACGCTAGCACCACACAATTCCGCATGGTTGTATAAAAAGGAAGCATCACTCCTTCAGAAACGAATGCCTCCCACGTGAGACCGTCAACACCTCGTCATCAGATAGATTCTATCTGCATAAATAATAACGGAGTCTTCATCGACTTCACACCGTCAATCAAATTAAATAACTCAGATCACTTCTTCTCAGAACGTTCACTCTTAACTCCTATAGCTGCTTTACCCCGCGAAATGATAGCCCCTTTTCCGAATCCACCAAAATTGGCGTTCTGTCCATAGTACCCTTTCGGGAACCCTTTACCCTTTTCCCTTTCCAAACCATTTACCTTTGCTCCCAATCCCGGACGAGCTTCCGTTATCTCCCGCCAAACTGGAACATCCAGAGCAGTTCGTTAGTGATTTTTAACTCACGATAGGTTGCAGGGTCCTTCACCATGGCTCGAATATGCTGTTCCCCAATCGTCATTCTTTCTGGCAGTTCACCTCCTAGACGTTCATAAGCCATCTCCATGAACTTCCGTGAGAAGCACTCAGTTCTCGCGTCGACTTGTTTAGACGCGGTCATCAGGATTCTCTTAGCACGCATTAAATTCACGGACTTCTTAGTATCATCACTGATGTCATCACCGCACTTCAATGGGGGCCAGCTTGGTAGAGCTATCGCCTTCTCAGTTATTCTTGTAGCCACAGTTTTCCCTTCATCAGTGCAGCGCGGCCAAGCTAGCCGTATCCGCGATACCCGTGGCTCTACAAGCTTCAATTAAAGCTATTGCCGTTTCACCCAAGAAAAACCTGTCTATGCCGTCTGCCGTCGCGATATTCAAGCACAAGTCAAACCTACTCGACAAGAGGCATCGCGGAAACTCAACGTCAAAAATACTTCTGTTGGATACACTCTTATGAAAAACCGATGTAAGGCTCGTGATTATCAGTATTACCCTCTCACTGGTAACCATTCCTCGCGAACATTTGGAATGTGATACAATTATGAGGTAGAGTACTGTGAAGTCGTCTCACTCTTAAGACTCGCAGGTTGAGTCAGGAAAGTCAACATTCACGCGCCCAAACCTCGTATAGTATACTATATTTCGTACTACGCACACATGTTATATTTTATACTTAGTACCTATGATCACAAATCACATTACAGTTTAAAGAATCTTTCAGGGACTCACTGATGAGACGAAATTGACATTCTTCGCAATGCGAAACTTAGTGACCAGTGCTCGCCGAGATCCAACGATTGACTTTCAACCACCCCATCAGTCAGGGGTTGAGTTTCAATGATTGAAATTCAACTCACTCGAAGAAATGAAGCATTCTGGAGTCGTTAGGCTAGAGCATGATACGTGAAGTCGGACTCACACTGCAACCCGACACAACGAGCCAGGCAAGTCAACTTTCACTCCCAGCTCACCCACAATGGCATCCAGCCATTTAACATTGGCATCCAGCCATCTCACATTGGCATCCAGCTATCTCAGATTGGCATCCAGCCGTCTCGCATAGGCATCCAGCTCTCTCACAGTGGCATCCAGCCATCCAGCCATAGTGGCATTCGAACCCTTGCCGAATCATCTAGCGCCCAGCTAAACATCAATTCTTAGATTCCATAGAGACCAGCGACTGAGTAACTTCCTATATTCCATTCGTCAATATTGTCACCTCAAAAGAATCTATACATCACGACTACCAGCAGAGTCATATCACGCTGAGTTCAAACCAGGCGAATTGACAACTACGGTAGCGCGGAGTACAATATTTGAAATACAGTATTCCAAACGCTGGGTAAATTTTGTCTCTCTGTTGTAGACTCCCCGTCGATATACCCTTCATAGTCTTAAATTTAGACCTCAATGGAGTCACATCCTCGATCTAATACGCTGATTCGAGACGAGAAATTTCAAGCGCTGCCTCCCCAAAGCAGTACATTGCAATTTACACCTGAGCTTTAGTCAGGAACCTTGTAAGCTCCTGTCCAGGGACGCCGCTCAGACACTCAGGAAGGTCCCCATTAACTAAATGAAACCATTCACTCGCTTGAATAAATTGACCTTCATCTACATTCATTTCCTCTCGCACGACTGCTTTGAAGTAATTCTCTCTGACTGCCCTGAACAAATTACTCCTAGAGGAGCTCTGTCGTCTCCGTACTATGCTAGAGGCTCGTATTGTGTTCAGAGACCGGAATACGTTGTAGTTCTAAAGTTCCCCGTGATATGTCAGCAGCATCGTCAAGAAATATCGCCCGCGCAGAATGCAAAATTCGACCATTGCAGTTAAACGATAAAGTATTGTGGCTGGCAGGAGTTGTTAATGCACTACTTGTAGCTGCCCTTCTGCCCACTTTCCCAATGACGCGCTCTTTCTTC